AGCCCTTCTACCTTCCGAATTTCAAGATTTCATTCACGGAAAAACAGATTGACTTTGTTAGTTATTCTTCAGACTTTTTGTAGCTACCTATCCTAAGCATGGCTGGATAAAAACAAATCTTAAAAGGGAAGCGAGGTGCATATTATATAGATTTTGCGCCCGTTCAGTGAGGTCTTGAGACGAGATGAAACCCTTCCATGTTTGAAGGCTGTATTGTTTACGTTATTTCATAAATTTTATGGAAAATATAGAATATAAGTGAAATAAGGGGATATATCTAAGTAGACATTGGTATAAACTAGATAAAGCTATATGAATATGTTTTGAAATGTATGTTTTGTTGTCTTTATTGGGACTTTGTTCATTAGTTACGATTTCGAATTGAGTGTTATCTATTGTCCTTTTCGTATTACGATGTATGCTTCAACAAAATCCGCCCCATGATCCTCAGGGTTTTTGGCTACCAATGATTCAAAAATACGATAAAGATCATCGACGATCTTGGATTTCTCCTCAGAAGAACGTGAATCAGACAGACCTGTCAAAAAATAAGCAATGTCTAGATAAATGAAAAAGCAAAGTAAAAAATGGTATCTTCACTCAGAATATTTCATTGTCGCACATCGTTGTGTGGTTCTCATCAAGTTAAATCAATCCATCATTGTCACCAACCTGATATCAACGTTGCATTACTCGAAGTACGAATGCTGGCGACATAGCGTTTGGCATGTTCTTTGGGGTCTCCCTTCTCTCTCATCCATCTCTCCTTGTGTGCACATGGGATGACATGTTTTTCAATGGAAACAAATTCTAAACCTTTCCGTTTCACAGGAGAATCGGGGTCGTTAAAAGGTTTCTTGAATTCTTCTACAGTTCGAAAGTAGGCGGTGAAATTGGTGTGGTTGAATTCTTCCTAATTTGTTTAGCATTGAAATACAATATTCATTAGTGTTGGGGAAGAAAAAATATAAATTCAGTGTCTGGTTATCGTRTATCACCTACTGCACGCGTTTTTAGCTACTGTTTAAATAGATGTTGCTATATCGTTTAACAGCGGCTGCTCTATTTACTCAAAAAAATGTACATAGTATTTTTGGTGGTGACGCCCGCCCAAGACAGTTAAATATTCCAATGATATTACAAAGATTTTAATTCTTAGAAGCTATTTTTTGTCATTTGTAGGTGATCTCAAAATCGACAAATTCTCGATAATCTTCCTTGTTTGCGCAACGTGAATTTAGCGTTAGAGGAGCAAGGAAATTTATGCATAAGAATCATCATTTTATGCTGTGTATCATCAATATAATGCAAAACACAGTTATAATCAGATGCATGTAAGCTACCCCCGTCGTGTCATTGCTAAAACGACTTTATCCGCGAACCTGAGTTATGCGTCCTTCTTGAACAAATTCTTCCCATAAACTACATATTTGCTTCATTGCTGATACTTTTGTACATTTAGTGTGGCCGAAGAGCTGTCCTTCTTCGTCGCATAAACTTTGTATAAGTATCATAGAACCTCCTGAAATAAAATATATAATAAATAAAATAAAACAAGACTTATGCAAGAGTGATTTGCTTGTGCTGGAGTGCTGGATCGATGCGCGCGCACTCTACCTGGTACTAATTCTTCAGCTCTGTTCAGCAAGAAAAGCTCCCAATCTTTCTCAGCTTGTTTGGCAAACATTTCCTTTTCTTTTTGGTCCGTCATCATACTTTGGTGCAGTGCTCCTGTAATGTCACATGGTTTCTTTCTCAGCCAATGAGCACTGCTCGCTGAAAATACCAAATGGACGGTGTTGCTTGGGACACATTGACTGTAGAAGTTTGTACCACAAGCCATTACAAAGACATTTTGGAAATCCATGAGATAAGAACGCGGTCCTGGGATGAAACCTGAGACAAAATAAAACCAAAAAACAAGACTGTGATGGAGTTTTATGGGTAAAGCAAAATACGATCAACCA